GTGATGAAAAATTAGGTGTTTATTTACTTGTGACCACTCAGTGTATATAGACTTGGCTTGATCGGTAAGTTCTAGTATGGAATAGCATGAATAACCGTTTCATTCTCCAGCTGCTTGAGGTATGCGACACTAAAACTGATATTTCATGGAATAAATTTTCAGATGTATAGAGTATAACAGAAACAACAACCCATTTTTGTAGAAGTCAAAACACCTATGTTGGTTTTGTACACTTGAAACAACAACATCAAAACAAACACAAAGGTGCAAATTCTATTATACTTTGGCCAGCAAGTTATCATTTCGAAATCCTGAAATAACGTTTGTAAACGTTTTTTCCTGACTTCAGAAACTCAATCAGAACAAAGTCATTAATATTTTAGTGCTAACCTATACTCAACAAAACAACCAATTAAAAGATTATAAAAATGTATGATATTTTAAGTAAGATGAGGCAAAACAACTGTAACAAAATAATGTCAGTCGTCGTCTTCAGTTTAAAATTATGCAAGTCAGGCAAATGATGATGAGTCATATGATCTGAAATGCAATCAACTGATCATTTAGATTGTTTGTATATAATGATCTCAGTATTGTGTCAGATGTCCTTATGAATTAAATCAGATGGCTTAAAAATATTTACCGTCGATGTGGATTCGCGTACTTGGTGAGGAAACCTCCCAGAGAAGGTTCTGTCTGTACAGTTCACCTCTTCTGGACTGTAAATATCCACCACATGTTTGCTGTGCATTGTTTCCCGTGAAGGGGAGGAGAGGATCTGGATAGTTGAGGGGTGTCATTCTGATGGGTGACTTATATCAGGGGCACCATGACACTCCACTTTGGCCTTGAATTTCTGCAGCTGGGTGTCTTTGGAGTGGCTCTCCCAGAGCCAGTTGCTGGTCCTGTTGGGCTAGGGTCAACCAAGTTTCAGTCTTGAATGCACTAAACAGGTGTTGTGGAAATTGTGTCTAAAGCTGGTGTTTGTGTATAGTGCCCACGAAATCCTGGCGTGTCTGCACTGACCTTGTTTGGCATTGTAATGCATCCCCTCATAGGGCTCCATGGTGAGTGAGGTCAGTGGGCACAGAATGACTTTCATTTTCTTATGGATCTTTCACATCCAAAAAATAATAAAAAAAAATAACGGAAAAACAGTTAATAGGTAAGTGTCCACAGTCATCACCCCAGTAAGTTCTTGTACTTCGTTTTATCATTCTTCATATTTTGACTGAGAAATCATCAGGGTCAATGTCGCCCTTTCTCATCCTGGACGGACTAGAGGGGCTTGCTAGCTCTCCAAAGTTAGTCAAGAAGTTACATTCTGGGGACATATTGGTACAAACATCTACACCACATCATAGTGAACTCCTCCTGAGATCAAAGGCCATTGGGGACATATCTATTGAGGTTATTCCTCAGGCTACTTTGAATTCCTCACAAGAAGTTATCGTACAGAGGGATTTAAAAACCATCCCCGAGTCGAAGATCCTCACAGGTTTCTCCAGCCAAGGAGTTTCAGCTGTGCAACGCATCTCCACTCGAAAAGATGAAATACTACAGCCTACCAATGTTCTGATTTTGATGTTTATATCACTACATCCGTCTGACACTGTTAAGGCAGGTTATTTGAATTGCAAGGTATGACTTATATTCCTAGCCCTCTCAGGTGTTTCCAAAGTCAGGAATTTGGACATTCTGAGGCATCTTTTTATGGTTCTTTGACGTGTGCTCATTGTGATGGCAAAGACCATGATACCACAGTGTGTAAAATGGACTTTCACTACATCAATTGTGATGGTTCCCATTCCTGATACTTTGATCTTGCTGTAAGAGGGTGGAGGAGAGAGAGGTACAACGTTTATGTACTGGAAACAGTATTTCTTATTGAGAGGCTACGAAGCTGTTGTCCCTCATTCCATCTTGTACATAAGCTCCTGCACTCCATTTTACTGCTACACTGGGAATTCAGACAGATCTTTCTGTGCCTCCAACAGAGTCTTTCTCTCAACATGTAAAGAGTATTTTGCCTTCTGTGAATGCAAGAGTTGACAGTCCATGTTTATTCCTGTCTCTGTCCCCACCATAGCTTCCAGTGACTGCTCTGGTCCCTTTGGCCCCAAAGTGCAGGACCCTCAGTCACTGGAGTCTCCTTTTTATGACAGAGATCTGCCCAATTGTCCTATGGTAGGTTCCATGAAGGCAGATAGAAATCTTTCTACTAAACAAAAATGTTGTGGTCGCAGAAAATGATTCTCTGCCCAATTCTCCTCGTTTTAATTAAAAATAACCATTTTGATAGAGTGAAAATGTCGAGATTTTCATTCTAAATTAGATGACATTAAGGCCTTGGTTGATACCTACCATCCCGTGTGTCTCTTCTTGCAAAAAACATTATTCAGCCTGCTGATACTGTCACCTTTTGGCAGTTTTCCTTGTAGAGGAATGACAGGTTGTGTGATGATCAAGTTCGTGGATGTGTGGCACTGATAGTTGATCAGCATATATCCAATATGACTGTGTCACTCGATACATCCCTGGAGGTTGTAGCCATCCTTATCTCACTGTGTGTTCTGTTTACTTGTCTCCGTCTTCATCTTGGGGGACTTTAATGGAAACAATTCTCTCTGGGGTGGTGCTGATATTGATGGAAAGGGTCGATCTGTGGAATGTATGCTCTCAGATCACAAACTCCCTCTCTTCAGTACTGGTTCATGCACCTAGACAGTCTTTTACTGCTATTGATCTATCTATCTCTTCACCTTCGCTTTTAATTTTTCATGGAGGGTTGACAGTGAGCCACGAGGCAGTGATCATTTTTCCATCCTTTAAAGGGAAATTGCCTGTGATCGATGCTACCCAACCCGAGTGCCACAATGGAAGTTGGAGCAGGCTGACTGCTCTCTCAGAACTAGATCCTGCTGTTGTTAGTCTTCCTTCTATTAACTACTGTGTGGAGGCAATAAATGATTGTATAATTCAAGCAGCTGTTCATTCTATTCTCACAACTTCGACACATTTCCCAAGGTACGCTCGTCCATGGTAGTATCCTGCCTGGGATACCTTTCCCAGGTATCCCACTCTTTCCAACCATGTTTTTTTTTCAGTGGGCCCTTGCCCATGCTCAGCAGGTCAATTATCAAAGCCAGAAGAAATCTTGGATTAAGTTCACCATTAGCATCCCTTCTACCACCAGTTTCAAGGTTATCTGGGACAAAATTCGGAAGATCAATAGGAAGCATGCTTCCCATCCCCTTTCCATTTTTCTCTCTAATGGCCAGTAAGTTGCTGATGTACAGAACATCACCAATACTCTTTGTGAATTGCTTTTCTTATCTTTCCAGCTCTTCTGTTTCTTCCCTTACTTTCTCGGCCATCAAGTTTTGGGCAGAGAGATCGCTCCTTTATTTTGGTCAGATCATCTCTATGATTATAATCGCCCATTTACTCTTCATTAGTCTGGCAGTACATAAGTCAAACCCGATTACTTTCACTATGAGATGCTGCACCATCTCTCTCCTGCCTCTCTTTCACTTGTTCTGGTTATTTTTAAGTGGATTTAGCAAGAGAATATGTTTCATGATGCTTGGTGCATGGCTACAGTTCTTCCCTTTTCAAAGCACTCCTAGAGGTGGATTCATGTACATGGTGAGGGAATCTCCCAGGGAAGGTTCTTTATATACAGTTTACTTCTCTGTGATCTGAATATGCACCCTCGTGTTTACCATGTGTGGCATCCTTTGAAGGGGAGGAAAGGATCCTGGTGGTTGAGGGATGCCATTGAAGGGTCAGTTTATATCTGTGGTACTTTAACACATCACTTTAGCCTTGAATTCTTGTAGATGGATGACCTTGGGTCAATCAGCTGGTCCTGTTTGGCTAGTGTCAACTAAGTACCAGTGTTGAACGTTCTCAATGGGTGTTGTGAACATTGTGTCTGATACTGATGTTTGGATATAGTGCCTACAAAACCCTAGCATCTCGACAATGTTCTACTTTGGCATTGAAGTGCGTCCTCTTGTAGGACTCCATGGTAGGTGGGAACAGTGTATGGATCCTGCACCCAGTGAACCCCCCCCCCCTCAAAACACTATAAAACTCATTAATAGGAAAGCGACCACTTTGGAAGATTCTGAAGAGAAAACATCACCTCAGTCTGACCTGTACCTCGATTTTTCATCTTGCATTATTTATCTGACAAAGTCTCCTTTTTTTATTTAGAAGAGATTAAAGGGGCTTGCTGGCTCTCCAAAGTTATCTTGGTGGAAATATCTAAATAAAAACACAGCAAACTTTTCCAGAAATCAAAGGCCATTGGGGATATACCTGTTGAGGTTACTCCCCACGCTACTTTGAATTCCTCATGAGGAGTTGTCTTCTTCTGGTTGTTTTTAACTAGATCTGCAGTAGAATGTCTTTCCAGATGCTTGGTGCAAAGCTATTGTTTTTCCTTTCTCAAAGCCAGAGAAGGATCCTAGAATTCATTCTAATTATCGACCAATTGCCTTGACTAGTTGTCTCAGTAAGGTTTTGAAGTGGATGGTCAATGCTCGTCTCGTTTGTTCTTTGAATGAAACAATCTCCTCTCGCCCACCCAACGTGGTTTTCGTTGACATTTCTCCAACGTGGGCCACTTTATTCGTCTCGAAACCTCAATCACTGAAGCATTCCTCAAGAAAGAGCATCTTGTTTCTGTCTTCTTTTATCTCGAGAAGGCTTATGATACTACACTGATATTTGGCATTTTGCGGGACCTCCCCTCATATGGATTGTGTGGCCATTTGCCCATTTTTATTTGTTAGTTGATAGATGATTCAAAGTCTGTGTGGGTTCAACCCTTTCCCAATCCTTCACACAGGAACTTGGAGTCCCTCAGAGTTGTGACTTGAGTGTTGCACTTTTCAGTATTAAGATCAATGCTATAACTAAATAACTTCTTCCTACTGTTGCAAATGACTTCTATGTCGATGATTTCCACATTTCTTGTCGGTCATCGAACATGAGGTTTATTGGGTGGCATCTTAAGACTTCTGTCACTAGTTTGTTGGGGTGGACAACAGCAAACAGTTTCAAATTTTCTTTTTTGAATATCGTTTGTGCCAATTTTTGCTGCCAGCAGGGTTTATTCATCGATCCTGAGCTCTGTCTTGGTTTTCTTGTTCTTCCCGTAGTTCCTGAGGCAAAGTTCTTGGGGCTTATCTTTGATCGTAAGATTACTTTCATTTCTCACATTAATCAGCTTTGTGTCAGGTATGCAAGGGCACTGAACATCCTCCACGTCCTATCTTCCACCTCTTGGGGAGCACATCAATGTTCTATATTGAAAATCTATTGTGTCTTCATACGTTCCATGTTTGACTATATGTCTATCATTTATGGTTCTGCCAGGCCCTTTGTCTTGAAAAAGTTAGACCCTGTGCACAATATGGGGATTCGGCTCTGCATGGGAGCTTTCTACAATTAACCAGTCCAGAGTCTGTACACTAAGTTTTGTGAACCTCCTCTTCACCTCTGCCATTTGCAACTTTCTTTGCAACATGCTACAATGCTTTGATCCTAACCACAGCATCCCACCTGGGGTTGTGTCTTCTTTCCTCAGTGGGTCGTGCTCTTTCAGAATCAGCAGTCAGTCATTCCTCCTCTTGGCCTTTGTATCACATAGAAGCTAGGCAGTACATTAACTGTATTATTTACACGGACTCTCTTAGCTCTCTTCTGGCCCTGGAATCACTTGACTTGAGTTTTAATCCTATTCTCTTCGACATTCAGAAACGAGTGGCCTAGTGTTCACTGTCTTCTGGTTCTATCCAGTTTTCTGTATACCTGACTATGTTGGTATTCTCGGGACGAGCTTTCTGACACTGCAGCTAAGTTCACCTGCTCTGACATTGTCACAACCATACCTCTTCCATATGTGGACTATGGTCCTGTGATCAAGGCACGGCTTTGCGCCAGCTGGCAGTCAATTTGGGGTGAGCAGCTTTATAACAAGCTTTTCCACGTGAAACATACACTTGTTGTTTGGCTATCTAGTTTCCATAAGGATGGATGGGAGGAAATTGTCTTGGCTAGACTATGAATCGATCACAGTTTCTTAACTCATCGTTTTCTTTTATGTGGAACTGATCCATGTGGCCTTTGTGACACTCAGGTCAAAATTGCCCATGTTTTACTTTCTTGTCATCATTACGAATGTGAGCGACGGCAACATTTTAGACATGCATTGGATGATGTCATTGGCGATGATGACACTGTCTTCTTGTATTTTTAGCTTTTTTTGGGCCATTGGTCTTTCTCAAACTGTCTTTAGTTTTTTCCCTAATTTTTGGCCACTGTTTCGCTTTTAGCTTGTTTTTTCTTTTTTTACTTTTTATGGTATTTTACTTGTTTTTACATTTTTAACGGTTGTTTGGTACAGATAACCTAGCAGCTTTGTGCCATAAAGCACCAAACAACCAACCAACCAATATAATTTGTCAGACAGGAACCTGTCCATCGATCAAGAGCAGGATACATGGAGGTCAATATACCTCTTTCTTCTACACTATAAGTTGTTTTCAAAAATGATATCAAGTCATTCTAAAAACTTGACGGGTCATAGTGACATTTCTTAGTAACCATAAATAATGTTGACTAACGCAGATAACATTAAAAACAGAGACCGAATCTTAAACAGGACATAGGTTGGATCGATAATTTTATTTTTGTATCGAAATTAGAAAATAAATAGGACACTTAAAAAAAATAAGGATAAATATATTTTAATTCTCCATAGCTATAAGAACGATAGTAAGAACAGAGTTTAAATCCCCAAAACACTCTCCTTTTAGGACGCTTTTTCTTTTGGAAACTTATGCAATGTTATCACTGTTCTTCATACCGAAACTACTAATGAGAATATTGTCAACTGTTATAATGAAGATTCCGATCGTAATAGCATTGTTGAGGCTGTTTGCTCGAGGTTGATGCTTTTCTTTGTTCACATTCATACGGCCAATAACAATGAACAATGCTCCAATCAAGATCTAAAGAAAACAATAAATGGCTATTAATACTTTACCGACAATTAATATATATTAATGCATTTGTACAAAATGTGTCGAAGTAAAAACAACATAGCGGTTCGAACGAAAATAAAGTTATACGTTTTTGTTGTTGTTTTTTTTTATTTGCGAGTTCAGTTCACTAATAGTGCAGGTGATTGAACCCCGAAAGATGAAATAAATACGTTGAGAATGGTTATGGCAAAAATTATCCACGTAAGGATGTTGTTGAGTATATCGGCTCGACGATGATGCCATTCTTTGTTGATGTTGAATCGGCTCTTCACGATCATTATAACTCCTGCCGAAATCTACATAGATGTGTGAAAAATGACACTTTTAGACTCAGTAATGTTTATTAAATTACAGTGTTATATTAGTTAGATTTCCAAGATTAGTTATTCGTTAATTACGACTTACTTAGTAGAATGTAAGCAAATGTTCATATATTTATTTCCGAATCATCTTTCAGAGTCAGAATTTTAAACAGACAGAACTACGGAGCTTTTCTGTCATGAAAAAAAAAATGCAAATTTTAATACGAAATCGACAGAAAAAATAAGATTTGTTGCTCACACAGTCTTAGAAAAAATATATAATTTTGTAAATCGAAACAAGTTGACAGAAAAATATTCAGCTTATTTAATATCACGTTACTAAAGTTATGTGTCTTCCAAAGATTATAGAATAATTAATATACTAATATCGCTTTTCCGAAAATATGGTAAATTCTTTATTTTGTTTTGGTTTTCATTTTTTTAGTTATTGTTGGTTTTCTTACATGAAAGCTATACGAGAGGCTAACTGCTTTCTGTCCGCCACGGGAAATTGAACCCCAGGTTTTATCACTCACTGTAAGTCCGAAAACTTATCGCTGACCAACAGGAGCACTTATTTTTAAAAGGCAAAAAGAAAATACTGAGTTGAAGGATGAGTTCAGTATTTAATTAGTCCTAACACGTTAGGAGCTAGCGCTGTGTTTTAAGTGTATAAATGCGTAACATTTTAAATACGTTTTAAAAATAATCTTACTCTAACTAAGTAGTAGGTCTCGAAGTTAACAAGAGTAATACAGTTTATATGAAACGTAAGCCAAATTAATAATCTAAAACCATGTTTCTTGAAAACAGATTGACAGTTAGTGCAGGACTTAACACATTGAAAAAAAAAACGATAAAGGACCACATTAGTAAAGTCGTACATTATATTTCTTTTAAGTTGTCGTTTGGTTTGCGTAAGTTATTTCATTTTCGCTTGTTTAAAATTCAATAAGATCATTGCTGCTCAAAACCGATCCGTGTGTAATATATTTGTTTTTCATTATAGATGGCGTTTCACTTTTAATATTAGGAATAACTGGAAATAGAAGAGAAATTCATTTAGTACAGAAATTTGAAAACTCTTGCGCAAACAACACATTTAAAAGTTACTTGCCTGCTAGTTAGATTATTATTTATATGCAGAAGATTTCCTTAATGCGTTTTCAGCATTCGCAACGATAAACAGTTAACACAGACCTGTAGGATAATAGAGATGCTGATAAGTGTTATCATCAGGTGATAGAACTCGTGGCGCTCTCCCATTTGTAGCAGGTATTTCAGCTGAGAAGCGTTGGCTGTGAGTAAAGCTACATCCAGCATTCCCTGAGCGACTGTCTTCTTTGTTGCATACGCATTCGGGTCCAGGATGGAGGAGAACCTAATAATTCTTGGCTGAAACAAAGAATCATACAAATACGTATAACTATGTCCTCCGTTAGGTGTTGAGGGTGTCTATGAGTGGTTGTAAAGCTTTAAAATGTAAAAGCTTATAAATGACAGGATGACGCGAAAATTTTCATGTTCATCTATGTAGATACTCTCATGTTTTGTATCATATTCAAAAGACTTCTGAAAAACCTTAGTTCACTTCAGGTAGTCATTCTCGCCATTCATCAAATCATCATCAAATGCACTTGAAAAGCGTGATTTTTGAAACTGAATCAGTTGTTTTTTAGATATAGTTATTGAGATCGGAAATAAAAGCACAGAAACTGAATCTAAAGAGCGAGGCATATAACATAACAGTTCTACAAAATCAATTCAGCAGTTCGGTAATAAAGGCTAAATGCCAATTCTTTCTGACTAATGCTCAGAATAGCATCAACTTAAGACGAGTTGTAGCTGAAATGATTACTAGAAAATGCGTCATGAACAAGTTCTGCCTCAAGGATCGTCACTCTCACTTCTTCTGTTCACCATCTACATGTAGGATCTATAGACTACCTTGACCGTCTAACCAGATTGTGTGTGTTAATCTTTGCTGGCAACATTTTGGTGTACAGTAGAGGTCTTGGTCACTTTATTATGTACGATCTTACCATAGTTTAAAAATGTGTTTTATTCGCTCATTAATGAAGAAGTTCAATCTATTATTAGTGAGGTGTTTATTCCTATTTTTCGCTTTCTAAAATAAAAACAATATTCTAATTTTAAACATTTACGAATGATCTGGTTTCAAAATGACGACTTAGAATACGTTTCCCACAATAACAAATCTTCAACATACGCAATACACCAAGTTCCCACTTGGAAGGAATATATATATATATATATATAACAAAACAAAAATACATACGCATTTGCACGTGTCGATAGTCGCTTGTCATAACAGGTTTCGTACTTTTGTACTTAAAGATAACACACGATACGAAACAAATACAATTTTTAAGCAATATTTGCAGACAGAATGGTAAAAGCTACTAAATACTGATGTAGAAGTAACATTATTGTTCATGCCTTGTTCGTGTATGTCGTATCGTTTCAATAATTTTCTTATCAGTTCTGACTTTATGCCACAAAGTGGCAGAGTTAAGGTCAGTCACCCACTGAAAAATGTTGCCATGGAAACGGTTTCCTGTAAAAATACAAAAATATAGTAGGTGCAGTCACGAAATATTTCGCTGTTGACATAGTCAACTGTATTTGCTAACAAAGCCCTAAATATATAGGTATTGCCCACTAAATAACAGTACAAGTACAATTGTTGGTTTACTACAAACACATCTATTATAACTAGACGATTCCTGTTTTTATAACCTCTTCAAGGAACTAATTACTAATAGCATGTATGATGTAACATACTGTTACGTTTAAAACTTGTAGGTCAATATTTAGTCCTGTATAATAAATCCTTCCCAAATCGTACTAAAAAGATCAGAACGTATAAGACTAACTATTTCTTTGGATGAATACTTTGTTGTTCAGTCTGTATCTTCGTTTTCGCTATACTTGCGTGTGCGGTTTATGTGTTGTTTCTTTCATCTTGTGTAGGTGTGATTTTCGTCATTCGTTAGAAAATTGAAATATCAACATGAGCAGAATTTCCCGCTCTTCCTCAACCACTTTTTTTTTTGGAGGAGGATTATGGGCATTCTCCTCTTTTCTTCATCAAAAAGCAACAGCAAATAACATCGCATATGTAAGAAAGACAAATAAAACTGACCACAAGCTAAGAACGGGAGATTCCAATGTATTTCACTCAGTATTTTACACGTTACGTTCTACGTTTCTTTGTAGAATAGCACCGATAATGGTTATTGCCACTACTCCTTCATTACAGACATATTTTAACCTTCTGTTGTAGGTTATTTAACCTTATGTTATTAACAAGTTTTGTGTTAAAACAACCCTTCGTTACTTTATCGTAGTTTACTGTAGATTAACTGCCTTGCTGAAAAATGCCTAGTTAGTAAAATGCTGTATGATGGTCCTTCTTTATGGTAATATAACCATTAGGTTTCTGTTAAACCTGTGAGATACTTCATTGTATAGTGGAAGCTACCCTATTTAGATAAATAACGTCTGCTTCTATATTAAATCTCGTTAGCATAAATAAACTCATATTTTCTCCTTTGCAAATTAGACTATTTCACTTTATGACTTCGCTTTATCATGTACGTTCATACCAGTATGCTAGTACGCAAGCCATAGTAATTTAACTTTGTCAGCATGGAAGCCATTTCAGCGCAACTATTTTCTTCATCAGTCAGCTGTAACGTGATACTCTTTTTAACCGATACAAGCATGGACTACGTTATAGACAACTCCCAAGGAGCGCGCCTAATCCACGAGTATAAACTTTAGTATTATATGTGGTATATTGCCAGTAGACGAGGTTTGGTTGCTATGGCGTTTATGTTTGTAAATCGTTTGAGTTTAGTACATGGTCAGACAACGGATCTAGTTGATATATGTTTAGTCCAAGACGAAATCAAGTATTACTTGATCAAAGGTTGCCGCTCATCTCGTCGATCGTTAAACTATCGGAAAAATCAGTTCACTACAACCTTAACAGAAATACGATTAAATAATCCTAACATAATGAACCGTGAAACTAACAAGTATAATTTAGCTTTGTTTGTAGAGTATGGAGCAGAACTTTGTTTACTGAATATATCTATGTACTTTTAGGTAAATGTTTTGATGACACAACCAATGAACCGACAGATACATAACTTGATAGACAAATCTTACCTCATTCCTTGCAGACAGTACCGTTGTCATGTTAAATTTAACAAACTTGCTTTTAACCGCTCGGCGTGACGTGACGAATAATCGTAACAGCGTAAAAACAGCTTAATATCATTTAAAAAAAAAAAACTTTTTTTGTTGTTGTTAGGGTTGTTTCTTCAAAACCTAAGAAATCAAATTTCACGTTCAATGTCATACATAAACGTGCCTGGACTGCATACCTGTATCGCGGTGAAGCGAAACTGTGCAGAGTTGTGCCAAATGTTGCCATGGTTACCATAAGTATACCACAAAATTGTTTCTTTGTCACTGAGTCACTAGGGCGCAGTTCCCTCCCAATCAGTTATTCTCATCTATCTGTCTTTATAACTATTGTACTTGTTTTATTCAAAAAAGAGACATTAACACAAAAATATCTCGTAAACGGCCATACCTGGCATAGTGATGAAAAATATTAAAATTAGGTGGCAGGCCTTGCCAATAAGTGTATCAGTCGTTACTTTACAGAAAGTAAGTCAAGGACAGGGGAAACATTCCTATACAAGCTTTTAATCTTTGATTTTTACTGCATTATTATTATTATTTTCTCAGAAGTAATATCTGAATGATTTCCTTATAAAGAAATCGACAAAGCTCTGAAGGACAACCTCAGGTTTGATAAAGCTGCAAAGAATATTAACAATGTGTAACTAAACTTTTAAAGCGTTTTAAGCACGATATGCATGTAAAATAAAATTATGACTTTGTAACTACAGAATAGGGACAATTCTCAAAAGCATCACAAAAAACCACTAATCTTGCATCCTATATTAATTCACGATGTATGTGAATTTATTGGTTTGTTTGTTCGCCAACTCTTCCCACAATTTTGGAGCTAACAAGATCATACATGGAAGGTGTTATCGGGATGACCCGTTGGGGACGTGTTCTTATCTATATAACGAAGCCATCCTACTAAAAGGGAATAAAATGGTCAAGGAAGGTCAACCAGTCATGATGATGGTGTAGGAATGGGTTTTCAAGGTCGCCGAACTCGAATCTAGAACCGGTTTTGCGTTCCTGAGCGCCCCGTCAAGGTCTCTGTGGCGTTATGTTTAAAACTGTGTTCATACCCCCACTCACTGGCATACTTGGGGTAGCTATAGAGTTAGTAGGGAATGATGAAGGATATTGATAAGTACATTTGAGCTTTTGTTGAATCATGAGGAGACCCTTGTACCCCGCAGCTGAGCGCGAGGATTTTATGCAAATATACCATAATTCATTGCTGGTTTCTCAGGGAGCTGAATGATATGAAGCAACTCTTAAGGTAATGAAGCCTAAGGGAGTCTTTATGTATGTTGGAAGTCAGAGGGTGATGTATCTTATATACTAAATGAGATAATTTTTGGTTCATTTACACCTTCACTATAGTTTGACTAATACATTTTCAAAGTTAAGAACTGAACGTTGTTGATACCGAAATATTTTTTTATTTTTCTAAAGTCAACAGCATATTTCAAGTAATGATATGTATATGATGCTCATTTATACATAAAACATTAAGGCCTACAGTTGTAACGAATATCTTTTTATATAAGTTAAAAGTTGCTTTATGGCTGAAACAGTGTGTGTGTGTGTGTGGTTAAAGTGAATTTTTGCTTTATTGGACTTTTCTTAATTCTGATATTTTGTTGATGACAGTGCTATTAAGCGGAACAATAACAACATTAAGTTAATTTATTCTGCGAAATGAGGAGACATTTCGTTCCTTCTTCGATACCTAGAACACAAGGAAAAAAAACATGGTTTTAATTTTAAGAACTAATTCTGTTTCGTCTAGGATGAAGCGATCGTTGTTGAACATACTAGATATACTTAAGTTTTGAAATACCACATAGAATATAGAAATAACAAATCGTAGCAAAGAATAACTGACATATATTTACACACACAACTGTCTAATGAACTTTGTAAGAATCATGTGATAAAGTATTATGTAGTATGCAGCAAAAATAATTGGGAAACTTTTTTTTTCCAAACGATATACAAGCCCTTGTTAGATAATATATCCCGTCTCTTGTTTGCGAACTTCATTTGCAAATAGTAATCACAAGAGTAAGACAAAGAATGATTGTGACCATTGTTTTGCAGGTAACAATGAGAGATGTGCTATTGGCATATTGAAATACGTGGACCGGAGAAGTAGAGATTAGTACATC